ACACTGAAGAAGGGTGTGATTAAGTGGCAGCTCAGTGGAATTAAATACAACATGCAGGGTGTTGCCTCACTCTTGCATGTTAGCACCTCTGAGTTTTTCATGAACACCTACTCTAAGCATACACATTAACTTGCTTTGAGGACTGGCTATTCTGTGGCTGTCAGATTCTCTGCCAGATGTGAAAAAAACAACCACCACATACATTCCTAGAAAAATTTCATCAACTGCCTTAGCACAGTATCATGCAATGGAAATGTTCAACTGTTAGTTTAGCAAAGAAAATCTGTACCAGGTCAAAAATGATTTCTTAAACAGCTGCACATTGGTGGTAACACAGCCAAATGGAGTTTCTCAACTATCAAAACAATTTGAATTACCAAAAATGACTGCTGGGGCTGTTGGAATCTGAGCAGCTGTAACACTGTTCACTTTTGAACACTTGAGGATTACACATAAGCAATTAAGAAAATATAATCCCAGTTATATCTGTAAGAAATTATTACTATTTTATTTACAAACCCAGTTGAATAGAGCCCCAAGAAGCCTAACTGATAAGCTTTAAAGCCCCTGGATTTCAGAGTTGGAGACAAAAGGCAGAGTTGCATTATCATATTCCTTGCTTTCATCTTCCATAGGGATGTGCCTAAGTAAAGGCAAAAAGCAAGAGCCAATATGCTAACACATCCAAGAGTTGCACAGACACCAGTCATTACCCTTGGAAGCTAATTTTTATACTTAGTGTTGCTATTGCTCCATCAAAGTCAGTCAGGTATTTGAGATAAGAAAAACTAGGGTGCAAAAGATACAGAAAAGAAAGAAGCCAACTCCATACAAAAATATCAGCATTAAAATTTGTCATTGTGGAAAAGAGTAAGGAAAAAAAATACAGGAGAATAATGAATATGAAAACTAGAAGGGAAACACAAAATACATACATGATATTTTAACTAATATATTTCAAATAATCCATTAAGTGTAAATGGTGTTATAAAATAATGTTATGTAATATGTACTGAAGCACATAATTTGATATTTATAAGAGATCATGAAGGACAAAAGAGTGTAAAACCCAGACATGTATAACCTCTGAAGTGGCCAGATAATTATTATGTTAGTTATATAAAAACCTCAATCAAAAAAAAAAAAAAAAAAAAAAAAAAAAAAAAAAAAAAAAAAAAAAGAGAAACAAACAAACAAAAACAAAACAAAACAAAAAAACCCCAACAAAACCCAACACAAAGCCCCAAAAAAACACTTCACCCAAAAGAAAAAAAGACTAAATGAAAATCTCCCAAACATTTATTTCAAACAAATAGTAACATTCCTACCAACAGGAGACTCAGGTGTCAGCCCCATGCTCTGAAGCAATGCTTCCGCTTCTCTTCTCTTCTTTTCAAGATCAGATTCTTCTTGTACTGGAAGAACTTCCTTCTTCTGGTCAGTCTAAAAATTATTTAATAATTAGTTACAGCCTTTTACCTTTAATTTATTTTGAGACCCCACAGGGTTTTTGTAATACTGAAACCCATCAAGTATATTAGATATTAAATTTCAGTAATTCTGATGGTTCTTTTTTGTAGATAAAGTAAACAGACAGGAATAACAATGTTCCAAAGCTTTGATATTGTCTTTAAAATACATATATAGACCTGCAAAAAGTGTCTGCGCATTTGCCAAAATGACTAACTTAATAAGATTAAGAGTGCTTTTTTTTACACTAATCCTAAACACTGTAAAGTGCAAATAATGACAAAAACATCCTCTACCTGGGTGTAAAAGTATTTTAGAGATAATCATGTGGTTCCTATTTTGAAATTACAGTAACTGTGTCAAAGAAAAATAGTTTTATTTGTGTTTTCTGCTAGATATAAAAAAATGCACCCCCACCCTATTTAATTTATAAATAGTGCAAGTTCTATTGCAAAAGATGCCGAACACTCTGCATCTTTCTACTCTTAGTTAGCTGCTTTTTAAAAAAGCAATTCTGGCATACACTGCTACATGGTCATTAGGACATAATTTGAGCTATTTCTTTCTCCTCTTTGTCTGAATCATGTAGTTGGCAGCTGCCCAGTCTTCAGTCATATGCTGATTTAGAACACCAACTAGATCATAACCAAAACACAGAGAAGTAATGAATAGTACACAAAACATGCCAGTAAAAGTTTCTTCTATGAGATACAATTTGCATTCAGGAGAAACACTAATCTATCACTGATTATCACATACTTGAGCAGCAAGAAATCCAGAAGACTTTAAACAAATTAAGTGTAACACACAAACACCATACACATCCTGAGTGTTGCTCTGATTTTAAAATTCAGCCTATAGATAGGTCAAAGAGCAGAAGAACATAGCACATTCTTTGTACAATGATAATATTGACTGTCATATAATTCCTACAGACATTCTCAGAACCATACTTCAGAAATGAATTATTTCAATAGCACCTATCACAACTCATTGAGCAGAGCTTTTATGCAATAGATCAGAGTGATTTGATTAATGATGTCACATGCACAGAGAAAGTTCTAGAAATCTAGTGTAAGATACTGATTTTTAGTATTTTTTTAAAATCCAGCTTATCATACAAACAGTTGAAAACAGTAGGTGTTTCTATTATTAGAAAATGGAAGTGCTACATTTATATTAGCACCAACCATTAAACTGACACTCCCTGAACAGGACACAGAAAATAATTGATAGATTATGTGAACCTACGCTTAAATTTTGGGCAAGTTACATATGCAAATCAATGAGAAAATTACGTCTTACTTCTTTCTTCTTTCTTTCTTCCTCCTTTCTCTTCTTCTCCTCTCTGATTTGAGCTAATCGTTGCTTCTTGCGCTCCAACTCCGCCTTCAGCTCACTTTTGTCAGACATGGCTGAAACACTGATCAACAGAAATCATGTCACTGTTTGGCTTTTGTTTTGTTTGGGTGTTTGTTTTTTGGTTTGCTTTTCTTTTTTCTTATATTTTTTTTTACATAGCATCTTTTCCTTCTAGAAGCTACCTGCAAAGAAATTACCCCAGCTTACCAAACCAGCTCACCAGAAGCCTGAGTCAACAATAATTGAAAAAACCCACATTCCTATTTCTATTCTTCTTTCACTGAACACATTCTCAACACTAAAGTGATTGATTTAAAACAAACAGAACCATGATATGATGACAGCATCCATTTCTAAGGTAGATCTGATACTCTTTGAAGGAACTACTTTGAAAAAAACCTTAGGCACAGAAGGTGTAAGTATTTAATCTCGCCATAAGATTTTTGCAGCTACAAAACAACCTGCAAGACTGAAAGCAGCAAGAAATTCAGCAAAACAATATTTCTCTTTCATTTTTCACTTCAACAGCTAAATACTGGCATGCTCTAACTTAACAGTATGTAAGCTACATATCCTTCTACAGACCATTATATGATTCAAAGTAAAGATTTATTAAAACATTTAGTAGGATTACTACAAATGATAAGGCAACGTAAGTACAAGTCAAAGAAAACTGCAAAACACATGCATTATAACTTTTTTTCCAATAAACTGGTGGATCATTTAAAGACAATAATGCTACAAAAAGTTTTGCTATGTCACTAACTCAAATACAAACATGACAGTCAACAACAAAAGGTGGAAACTGTAAGTTTAGAACTTCACAAAGATTTAGAACACAGGTAAGAAAAACTGAGTGAAAGGGCTAGGTGAAGAACTTAATTTTACTGTTTTTAAGCAAAGTCAAGCCAGCAAAGAAAATGGACAGGTGGTCCTACAACAAATGAGACAACTATAAATGCTTTTACAGTACGTTTGACAATAAGGATACAAGATTAAGCATTAGTAATGTGTTGGGATGCAAAATGTTGCAATCCTCCTAAGTCTAACCCCCCATCTTAATAATACGTATACCGGGGTCAATGTGTGTATGCCTTCATTTAGTCTGTTAGCACTAAAATGCTAATAACTAAATAACCTAAAGTCAGCATTTTCAAACGGCATTCCCGTGTCCCTTTAAAGCGGCACCAGGAACGCGCGTTGTCACACCACGGACGGCCGCCCCTCCAGCGCCGGCCCGGGGAGGCGAAGCAGCGCAAACCGCGCGAACCCGAGGGCAGCGGAGCCACCCATCCCGCCCAGAGATGGCCGCCAGAACCAAAGTCCCCCCAAATCCCACAGCAGCCGTCCGGGCAGAGCGCCCGGAGCGGGCAGGCTTCGGCCGCTCCCGCTCAGCAGGCCCCGGCCCCGCCCGGCTGCCGCGGCCCCCGCTGCACGGGGCGAGGCCGCAGCAAGGCGCGCTCCCACCGGGCGGCCCCGGCAGCCGCGCTGGGCGCGGCTCGGTCCCCGGGCTCCTGTCCGCGGCTCGGTCCCCGGGCTCCTGTCCGCGGCTCTGTCCCCGCGCACCTGTCCGCGGCTCGGTCCCCGGGCTCCTGTCCGCGGCTCGGTCCCCGCACTCCGGTCCGCCGCGGCTCCCCGCCCTCGGCCCGCGCCCCTTCCGCCGCTACACAAAGACGCGACAGCTGGCTAGGCGGCTGCCGACGGCAGACGCCGAGGGTCAAACCAGCTCCGAAGGCGTTGCGGAATGCGCGGAAATCTATGGGAACTGCCGAAGGACACTCAGGTCTGTGCAGTAAACACCCAATGCCCCACTCGTCCCCCCGTCAGGGCTGGCAATCTGAAAGGAATTAACACGGGGAACGAGCGCGAAGAGATGCGGGAAAGGGGCGGCTTTCGACGCCCAGGGCCACACCCCCCGCTGGACGCTGGCTGGTGAAGCCGCTTGGAGAACAACGACACCCAGCATGCAGCGCGCACCGCTAGATGGGCCTCGTCGCCGACGCTCGCCAGGCGTGGGCGCGGCGCGGCTGCGCGTTGCATGATGGGAGTCGTAGTCTTCCGGAGTGGGTACGCGCCAGCAGCTCGCGCTTGGAGCCCGCAGAGCGCGGGGAGCGAGCGCCACCGCCTGCCGTGGAGTGTGTGCGCGCATGCGCCGTGCCCCAGGCCACAGATGTGCGGCGGGCTCCCCTCACGGGCGCCCCGGCAGCGGCCCCGGCAGGGCAGAGCGGGCCGAGGCGGATCCCTGTGCGGGACAGCGCCTTCGCTTCTGCTTCGGCTTCCGGACCGTGAGGGGCGATCCGCGTTAGGCCCCTTCCGCAGCCGAGCGTGAAAACCAGTCGTGTCTGTGCGGACGCTGATGGAACTGAGTGGTTTTAACCGCGGAGCGGCCGGTAGCCATAACCCTTGCAGTGACCTGGGGATAAGGAGTATAAAAGCCTGATTCGGTGTGAGCGTCAGGCCGGTGACAAAATGGCCACCGCAGACGGCGTGTGGGCGGTGTTGGGCGGCCCTGGCGACATGGCGGTTCCCATCGCGGGCGTCGTGCAGGAGTGAGCTTACACACCGCCTTTTGATACGGCAACGGACTGTAGCAAGTGACTTTGCTGTTTCACACTCGTCCTAAATAAATAAGCACATTGTCATTTGTGTCCAGAGGAAACCTGTATCAAAATCCTGTGACCGCTGGGCTAGTGGGCAACTGACTTGTGTCTCAGTGAAGTGCAGGGTCCCCCGGCCTGCTGATCTGCCAGAACTGTGCTTACCAAAGCAGAGTTACAGGGAAGATTGTTGTGGTTCAAGCGGAGCGTGTGTTCACAACACCCTATGAAACAAAGCTTTTGGAGGCAATAACTCCAGAGCAGGTTAATTTTTCTGCTATTACAGAATTTGGATAATTTATTTGCAGTGACTGGATCTACAAATAGTTATGCCTGGTGAGTGTATTGACAAACACTGGAAAAAGGCTTCATTTGCAGTCTGGCTCTGTAGCAGTCCTGTTAGGTATAATAAACCGAACAGGTTGGTTGGTACTTTGCTGGGGTAGCTGCTAGGAAAACTTCAATTGCTGCAGGAATCAGTGTTGATAATTTACTCCACTGTAGAGTTCCATGTGAGTCAGGGTTTATACTGTATCTCAAAAAGTTTAGAAAAACCCTCTGTTGTTTAGATGGCTTCTGATAATTTAATAACCTTCATACATTTTATAAGAGTTCTCCCCTCTTTCCTGCTCCTGCTAGATGGACATATTTCGTTTCTGTCATGTCAAAATGAGGTGATGATCAATGATGGGTCCTTTCTGACGTGAGAATCCTTTTGTAGTCTGGTAACCTTTAGCACAAAATATACATTAGTGAATGGTCCAGCACCTGAGAGTGATTCCCTACCAAGCACTGTAGAAAATAGGTTTACCAGTTGAAAAATTCAAAGTTCTTCCTTAGTGTGGTCTGCACTCTCAATTTTTTTCTGTTATGTGGTTAAGATAGGAGATAATGAGAGCTTCTTAATGGATACTATAATTCACCAAAACCTGCACTAGTTCAAGTGGTTTCATGAAAGAGTATGAGAACTGCCAGGAGATCAGCCCAGAGGAGCTATTTTCAGATGTATTGTATGCTAAGCTATATTCTGCCCTCAGTTTGTGCACCTGTCTTCCACTGACCATTATGGAGGTCTGTGTAGTTGTCAAGAGAGGAGAATACTTGAATATTTGTTAAGATGATAACAGATTCCTGTTGTATGGATTATGTTAGCATTACTAGCCAGAAAGATCAGAGGCTAAATAAGGAGACAGAAAGTGTGCACTTCTTTTCCTATTGTAACTGTTAGCTCTAACAGTTAAATGTTAGTATTTTCACATTGTTAGGAGCTTAGTTGAGTCACTGACTCACAGCATCAGTCAGATCTATTCAATAAAGACTGCAGCCATGGAGTCATTTTACTGAAAATGAAAATAGAATTTGTTCCTCTTCTGGTTCTTTCATAAGAAACTTGCCAATGTGTTGGAAGAAGCTCTGAAAAATTACATGCATTCAGAGTGCAGTTAAATTAATGAAGCAAAGACATAAGCATCAATTTTTCATATAAAATTTTTCTCACTATATTTCCTACTTCTGAGCTTAAATCTTTACTTTTAACATAAGTTGTAAGGCAGTAGATAATTGAAAATGCATTTATTACTAGCAGAAGCCAAGCTCCATATTTACAAAGCACTTGAGCAGAAAGGAGATGGCAAGATTTGACCCAATGGAAAGATGAACACTGCCATCTGTCAAGACCTGTGGTGATGATACCTGTGGTTAAAAGCATTTATTGAAGAAAAATTTGGATTTCTTGACTCTGAAAACCATATGTCATGGGAAACATGGATGCTTAGGTCTATACAAGTTCACACACACACACATACATACATATATTCTTCTGGAATAAATCTACTCATATAATTTGGTAGTTTTTGTTCTGTTACATAGACATGGCATGGTCTAATCTGTTTAGTTTTTTATAGCAATATGGCAAGAAAGAAACAACATTATTTTTGTTACTTTTGTGTATGCCTCTAATGCTAGCAAGCTCCAACACATTTACAGACATGTTTGTAGGAGCAAAATGTATTTATGATTGGTTTTGAAGTCAGTGGAAGTGTGTGATATTCAAGCAATACTATCATTAATCACAAAAATTATTTTTAATTTCACTATAGTTATAGAAAAATTTCACTATTTGTTATATGAAAGATGGCTGCAATTCAGGAGTGATGTAAAACATCTGTTCTATATGCTTAATTCATAGTATATGTCCACAGACAGATACTGATCACTGTTGTGATGTATTTATGACAACAATTAGGAATCCAAGAGGAAGTAAAATAATTCAGATCCATGAGATTTTGTAATTTTCGGGGTTTAATTTTTATGTTTAGTAATAAATATAGCATTTTGTAGCATTTCTTTCTCTGAGCCAAAAAAGCTTTCTGCTAGTACAAAAAAAAAATTCATCTTAAAAGGAACATTTCTCCAGCTCTTGTTCTTGCTCTGGAATTGTGGGGTCAAGTAACTTAAGTCTTGTCTTTTTCACCTTGATATCACAGGAGGAAAAGAAGTGTTTTGCTCTGGGTAGTTTGTGTCACTGGTTACCAGATTACAAACATATCTTTATTTTCTCTTAGTCTTAGTTGCTTAATGTGTCAAATTAGTATCCTAATTTCAATAGCAATATTCCTTACTGCTAAAGCTATGTGATTTGATATTTGAAAAGAAGCCTTTTGAGTGGAAGGCACCATATATAATTTGGAGTGTTATTAAAATCATATCTGCAGGGAATAGTTCACACTTTCTTCCTAACAAGGAAATCAGCAACTGAATCATACCTATGTTGTTTCTCAGCTTTTCTTCCTGCCACATTTCAGAAGCTGACAGAATTATCCTTGTGACACAAGTGTGAAGTAAAGGTGACAAATACTATACAGAGTTTTAGAGGAGTTAACTCAAGATCAGTCACAGATATTCAATTGATGGTTCAAAATTGCCCTTCCTTCTCTTAGTCCCATGATCAATTCAAAAGAAACAAGTTTTCTTAAATACCAAACAGTATTTAGAAGTAAGCATTTTAAGTGAAGGCAAGCTCTAAATTTGTGAAGCTAAAACATGACCTTGATAGGGTGGAAATTTTTATGGGCTGTTGTTTGAACTCCTGATATTCACTAAAGCAAATTTCATCTTTATTTCTATGGGGAAGGCAAACTACTTTTCGTAGAAAAGGATCAAAATCATCAGAGTGGATATGCTATGTTAATGATAGGCGGTGGACAGTGAGGGTAGAAGAACTGATGGGACACTTATGGTTCAAAGAATTCAGCACTTTTCATTTATGCTGGAAAAAAATGTAAATTATGTCACCCTCACCTCCTAGTGCAAAGTTATCAGACAGACAATCAGTGACACTGCTGACATTAAAATGGCTGAAATGTTATTTACTTCTATTTATTTCTTTTGGAAATCTTACAATATCTTATTGCAAATGAAACAAAACCCCACATATAATGGTGTAAGAAGCAAAGGTTTGTCTGTAGTTTCAAAGCTGGATTATTGTTCTATCTCAAAGCTAATTGAAATCCAAGATGTTTGTATCAAAGCTGTAATGAGACACTGACAAATACCTTTCTGCCCCAGTGGAAATGTAATCTTTCTATTGAACATTTTGTCCTGGTAAGTTCCATCTGCAATAGGCACAGGCATTTTGCATTTGAATCAAGAAGGTCACTCCTTTGGATCAGATGATATAGTGTACACTCCACTTGCCTTTAGATGAAATTGATCCTTTACTGCATTGAACATAAGACTGTGCACCTAATTATCTTACTGTTTCATTTAAATTAATTTGGGATGCTAACACTACCACCTCTTTTTGATCTTTGCACATATCAGTGAGACAATTCTCTGAAAAGTCTTATTTCTTAGACAGGAATATTTAAAAAATATTCAGTTGCATTTCTTTGCTAAATAAACCAGAATAAAATCAATATTTAATTTATTGATATAATTTAGTATTTCATAACATCTCCCTCACTTTTGCAGCAGTAACACAATAGTTCTATGTATAATTACTCAAACTTGTTTGAGTAGTCTTCTTAATATATAGTAACTAAACTACATATTCAACATTTTGGTTGTTTTACTCATAAATAATGCCATTGACTATGGTGAAGAGAGGCAGCATAAAACTGAATGGCAGTTGCACTGTGTTCACTCTTCAGTGTTAAAACTTCCAATACCTTTGGAAATATGAGTTTTTTTGGTTTTTTAATACAAAGTAAATTGTACTGAGTGTATGTACAAAAGCATGTAGATTATTTTTACAAAAACAAAGGGAAGAAATCTCTAGCTATGGAGGGGCTACTGTGCAATGCATAAATAGCAGCTAGATCTCTGCAGGTTTGAACCTGTTCTTATTTAAATCAATGGAAATTTCACTGCTGGCTGCAGTAAATGCTGCATCAAAACCCCCCAAAATCAATTAAATGTGTTCTTAATAGGCTTTCATGCCTTTGAAAATCTTTCTCTAAATTACAGATCGAAACCAATCAATTAGGCCTTAGATTTCATTTTATTAAAATAAATCCCACATTATTGTGCAAAATTAAATACAATGCTTAGATTTACTGGCTTTCATTTATCCAGAAAGATTAAGCAATATCTGTGATTGTCAAACCACCTTGTTTTATTTGTTAGAAAATGTAGGATTCGACAGAATGCTGATGTGACTCCGTGTGTTTTGAATTGCTTCTGCACTGCAAAGAACAGTGCTGGTACTAGGAAGTTGAGCAATGAGAAATTGCTCTGTCAGGACATGGACTAAAATTAATTTAAAATAGACTTTTTATGTGATATTGTAGCAATTGGAAATTCTGATTTAGTGTCTGCTAAGAAAATGTTGAAAATGCTTTTAGAAATTTCTTAACCAACTAAAGTTCAGTAATAGTGGATACCAAAAATATAATTATTAAGGAAGATTAAAGAGTATTTAGTGTAAAAAGACTATGGCTTGTTCTGATTTGTATTAATTTTGAATTTTTCATTGTCCACAGGAGATCCTGAAGAGTACATGGCATAAGCTGGCAGGTGGTACAGCAAAAGATTTGCATCAAGATAATTTCTCCATTTCTGCCATCCTCATCTGCTGTCATTCAGGTGCTATAACCTGTTTCCTTAAACAGCATTATTGTGAAGTGTATATTTATCTGTATCACCATGAGGTGATAACGTGTGCTTCACTGTGCTCTATTTAACTAGAACATATTCTTTTGAAATCTTAGATAGTTGTACTGCTTTTATGGGTTTAAAATTACAGCACTAACATCTATTTTGTGTTTTGTAATTTGCAATTAAGCTGTATTTTACCTAGATATGAGACAGCATATTTATTATCACAATTTTTATCTAAACTAAAATTATGTAATATAGGTAACATAGCAATACTTCATATGGTATGCATGTTACCTTATGCATAATTCTTATAGTAAGGATACTGAGGTTGTAATTTATTTTATTTAATAAACTCAGATACTGAGTCAAGCAAAAGATGCTCCGAATACCTTAAAGCTGTTACAAAACCAGAGAGAATATAAACTTCAGAAGGAATTTCAAAATAGAAAAAAATTAAAAGTGGTGTTTGAGGGGTATTATAATTAGGAGGGAAAGTATTTTTTAAATAATAAAAATAAGGAACTACTGCATTTGATAAGTATTTAATGAAACCAACTGTATCTGTATATAGTTGAAAGTCTGATCCTCAGAAACTACTGAGTGGTTCTCTTCAAACTAAAAATGGAAAAAAATGTGACAGCCTGAGAACAAGCATGATAAGTATTGGTCTAGAGATAATTGCTTAGAAAAGTTATTTTAAGCTAATGAGAAGTTCATAAAAGAAAAGTGCCATTTCAACCAAATAAGTGTAATAATATCAGCTAATGTGGAAACACATTCTGGGAAGAAAAAATAAGCATTGCAAAGCCTGGAATGGCCAATATGGAATACAGAAATGTGTCCAAGTGAGTAAGCATCAAATGAAGGATTATCCCTACTTGTGGAGAATCCATTCCAGCAAGTAATTGAACCATGGACTACTGCATCTCAAATTTGTAGGACTCCCCAGAGAGCTAAAAGGGACTCTGCAGATTCTGTCATCAGTATGCCAAAAATCTCTGCTCTGTACTGTAGTGCTTAAAAGTAAGTGTTTCCCAGATTTCCATTTTTAAATGACTTCTTTCAGAATTCTGATCAAACCTTGGTGTTCTGAGTTTTTAAAGGTACAGTGAGGTTCTCTTTGTATTGTTTTGCATGTGAATGCAAGAAATAAATTCTGATTAAGGTTCTAAAATTAGACCAAAAATGTTGTTATGCTCTGAAACAGCTTGAAAGGTAAACAGAATGCTATCAAGTGTGCAGGCTATCCACAGAAAAAGAGAGAGGATAAGCATTTAAGGAGAAATATTTTGTTCTGTACTTAGCTTGAAGTGAAAAGATACTATGCCAAGCAAGTAACAGAAAGATAGCTAGGTGTACAAAACTAGGTGGCAGGGCACTGGGGAAGTGTGCAGGATGAGCTTCTGAGACTGCTGAATAAAGATGTTAGGTACAAATTAGAGCTGGTTTTGTAGTGAAGGGTCTGCCAAAACCATGATGCTAGAATATATTGATGCAGGAACATCCTATGTATATTACATATATCTCAAACAACTCCTAGAACATCATGCTAGACCACACAACTATCTTTTACTAGGATGCCTGTTTTGTTTGGAAAAGGGTTGCATATGAGATTCTGTCTCTGAACTTGAGAGGTAATGTGATCTGTAGAATCAATACTTCACATTTTACTGTTTTTTTTTAACTTTGTCTTTTGTATTTTTCCTGCCACACATTCAGATGGAAAGCGTACTACATTGTGTTAGACTTCTCATACCATCAGGAAACCTGTGACACATTTTTAAATTTATTTTAGAAACTCAGTTCTCTCTTAAACACTGTTCATTGATTCATTTTGCAAGCTTTCTTAACTTGATTTTGATTTGATCCTTTGTAAACTGCATAAAGATAGTGGATTAGGGTTTATCATACACAAAATTATGTAGAATCAAGAGATTTTAGCAGGATCTGCCAGCAACCAGAACTGTGCAGCCAAGTCCAGTTAAGATATGGTTAAATTGTTTTTGCCAATCTTGAATAAAAAACACTGTTGTAAAACTGACAACAACAAGAAACATAAGCACATATTTAAGTCAATGAAAACTAATTGGATGAGCTCTCTGTGATCAAATTCAATGTGATTTGGTTGTATATCTGGAAAGGAAGCTTCATGTTTATGAAAGCTAGATTTCAGGTGACACTGCAATGAATTGAAACACATCTCTGCCAGTGCTTCTTGACCTAGTGAAATAGAAAGATTTTTCTTTTTGTTTGTTCTATAATAAATGGCTGAGTGTGTGTGTGTGATAACACTGTATAAACCGTATTGATTTGTGGAATGTTAAACACACTGTCTAGATAAGAGTTTTCCTTATTTCAAGCAACAAAGAAGTATTCATAATTTTATCTTTGGGTGGATTTACAGTCACTTCTGTAGGCTTGATCCCCCTAGACCTTCAGTGATAGAAATCAGTTGAAGTCAATCTATGTGAGCAAATCTATTCCAAAGAAGTCCTAAAGCCACCATGTATAGGGTAGTTTTATATTGTATTCTGTAGGAATAAATGTGAACTTGCTCTGTCTCTGTATTGAGCCTGCTGGACCCTGTTGGAACACAATGAACATGGTAACAGTTTGAGCTAGCAGAGGCAAACCCAAGGCTGGTTATAGCTCCGTGGAAGGGTGTACAGTGATGCTCTGTGAAATCGATTTTGTTAGGTGGGTTCTTTCATTTTGGGCAGAAGAATGAGCAGTCAAGCTGCTTGATATGCAGACTCCACATTTAGCTTCATAAAAAAATATAATTAATCATAATTATGAATATGTATATAGAAGGAAAACAGCTAGGAGTAGAGGATCCTTTAGTTATTAGATAAAAGCATAAAATCCAATCCATAAAATCATTCCAAAATGGAAGGCAGATTAATATATTAATTATGTACTTCAGAAATTGTATTAATTATATTTTGGAACAATATATCTAGGGTAAGAGGAATATTCTATCCTATCTAAATTCTTTAATTGCTATTTTTCCTGTATTCTTATGCACAATATCTGATCTAGGAGTTATTAACTAAGACCTATGACTTTTGATTTGAAGCAGATCAGAATTGTTCACAGAGGCAGTACTTTACACTTTCTGATCTTCCTGGCAAGACTTCTTGCTCTGAATTTCATTGTTAGAAATCTCATTAGCCAGCCATGGGAAACAGGGAGGGAAGAAATAAGGCATTTCTTGTTCCCTCCTCATATAAGAGAAATTAAAGTCAAATGTGTAAAGTCAAATAGTAAAAAAAAATTCTGAGTCTTTGAAACAAGGAAACTCTGTGTCAACACTCCACTCTAAAAGCAGGAGAGCAAAATGTAAAACCCTAAACCAAGTCTAAATTTGCCATGATTTGCAAAGAAAATAAACTCTTCTCGAAGGTAGATAAATGATAATGAGTGTACCATAGCCCTCATGGTAATATTGTAGTTTTGAATCAGGTTATTAGGTTTATCTTCAAATTAATTCTGTATTCAGGGGAGTCTCAATAGAGACTCCGTAGTCTCAGGAGTTCACTAAGATGTTGGGTGCTCAGGTAAACTTGTAAACTCCAGGAAGCTTGTCCATACACCCCAAATTTGATACTTTACTAAAACTTTCATTCAAGAGATACTGATATTAGAGGTAATCTTTAGCAAATGCAAAAATACTGAACAATTATTATCAGTGGCCCTAAGATGACACTTTATTTCAAGAAATGCCATTTGCGGATTTGCAGATGGTAACTCAGTATCTCAGATATGCTATTTGCTAGTAGCAGAGGCAGCACTGCAACAGGCATGACTTAACTTATAGGATCAGTTTTTGTTAAGTATTGAGTTCCATGACATAATCATAAATTTGCAATCAAAAAGTACGAGACCATAAAATCAGTTGTTGTAGTTGGAAAATCTGATTTAAGTGTCAGAATGAACTGTTGTTTATGTAACTAATTGAAGGAAAAGGCAACAAAATTAATTCTTACCTATTTTTCTGTTAAATAGATCTAGTTCAGGAACTCCAGGATATTTACCTCAGTAATATGATACTATCTTCCAGTTATTGAATTTAAACTTTTGGACCAAGTACATAATACTTGTTTTTCGTTCAATTACGGTATTAAATTCTATTTATTAGGTGTATATTATTTAATTAGAAAAATTACTGAAATGAACTAAAGTACCTGTTAATAATTACATTTGAAAACCTATACCCTCTCAGTGCCAAAATCCCTCTAACTGCCTTCTGCCCTCAGTATTTATTGTGTGCTTACTGTGGAGTCTCGCCTTGCTTGGGAAGTTCCCTGCATTTTGATGCAAACTTTTTCCAGTATCTCAAAAAATTGCATTTTCTGTGGTCACTGTGGGTTAACAGAAGACAACTGTCTGCCAACTGGATTTAAATGATTTCAAGTGCACAAGTCTGCCTTATAAGCAAAAATCTTTACCCATTTAAATGTCTAGAGAAGTTAATTAAAAACTGTAGAATGTGCAAAGGACTATACAGACAATTAATTGCTAAAATAATTGTAATGATGCACAATTCTACAATTGCCCTTTTCTCTCTGCTGAAGGACACTGTGAGAAGGCAAATCTCTGCCTGACAGATTCTGATGAGAGTTTTTGTTAATTACACTTAAATTACAAAGGGCACCACTTCTATATAAAAACTGTGCATTGCTTCCATTATAGTTGGACATTTGCATGAAACCACAAATAGTTTCCTTGCTTATCTGTGTTCCTGGCTTGAGACCAATTGCTTTCTTGCCTTTTACTAGTTGCAGCATAATCTAAAATAGAGGATGAATAAAATAATTGATCAAGACTATAGCTTCAGATATTATTGTCTACGTGCCCCACTCTGTCTTTCCCTTTTCTGCCTCTCCCTAGGGGAAAAGCAGTTATCTTCCTTATGCTAAATCCAGTTCCTATCCACAGCAATCATAAATCTTGGCATCAGTCTCACAGCAGAATAAAAAGTCAGATCAGCGGGAAGCTTCCACATAAGAGCAACAGGCAGCTCCAGGAGGAGGAAAAAAAAAACCTACATGAAAAAAATCTTTTCAAACTCTTCAATTTATTTTCTTTCAAAAATAAAGGGTTCTACTCATTAGAAACCCTCAGGTTTTCTTGTCTTTTTAAAGATAATATGCCTTCAAAGAATGACAACTCATTATTCAGGCAGCCTTTCAAAGCCCTTTATTTCAAAGCTTATTTCTGAATAAACAAATATATAAAGAGAACAAATTGAAATTTCTGCTTTTCCTAGTGTTTTGCATAAAGGCTACACAAGCTGTCTTCTCTCAAAATGACTCAGATCTGAAATTACAGAGTAACCAAAAATTGTTTGATGTAGCTGGTGGAATTAATATTATGTATTTTATCTACAGACTGACTCTAAAGCCACAAAAATATTTTTAATTGAGAATTCAAAATTTTAGATCAAAACCCCAAGGTATTTTTTGTTACTGTTATTATTTGCTTAGGGATGTTTAAAATGTTTAGAAATAGGCAAAGGAGCACTAAGTATATTGAAAATAACTATCATAAACATGGCAACAATGTAATAAAACTGAGAGTCGGGTTTGTGATATAATTTGAACTTGTACTTATTGGGCTGATGTACAAAATGTCTTTGTAACCATTTATTACACATTTATTACATTCCAAAGAGTTTACTTTAGACTGAATTAGTCCTTTAAGGCATTAGGAGGAACTGTCCTACTCGGACTAAAGTGAGCTACCCTCTCCAGGATGAAAAATTGATTAGGTTTTAAATCAGAGAAAATATACTGAGAAATATGAATATTTTGTTGCTAGAGCAGAGATTCAGGGAATACAAAGATAGGAGTAAAATGTCTTCAGAAGAACTGGAGAAAGGAGTTTGGAATAAGAAGGAAATGTTAATTAGTGAATGAAGCACATGTACCTCAGTGGCTTGGAAAGCATAATGTTAGAAAGTGCAAAATAATACAATTTGTAGGAAAATGTGCAGAAATGAACTCTCACAGTATTGTAGTCACCTCTTCACTTAAGAAGACCAAGGCATTGCTGTGATGAGCTCAAACCATGTGTATGTTTCTTGATAGAGTTTCCTATAGCTAGTGTCTGAATTACAATTGAAAATAAAAAGAGGTTCAGAGTATGCAAGACTCCATGATGGCTGACTTAGGCTTACAAAGGAAGAAATCAAAAGCACTCTGTGTGTGATTCTGTGCCAGAGTATTTGACTTCATATTAAAAGCAGGTAAAAATGTAGTACAAGTGCAGTCAGAGACTGGAGTAACAGGGAACTCTCCTTTCCCTGAACTCAGCTAAAAACTCCGGAAGCAATTCTTACTTAAAGATACCCTTTTTTTCCAAGTGAAGTAACTCTGTGGAGGAATTTTGAACAGTTGTTGTATGTGGGAATTGCTGACTGTCTGTATTGCCTGTCAATTTTCTTTCATTTATTTGAGGAGGAGAGCAGTGCTTAGGTCCATATGTAAACTCGTTTACTCAATAGTGCTTTTGGTTATACAGTTGCAGTCTCATGGATAGGCAAATTCTTCCTAGGCTTTTGCAGTGCCATCATCGGGTTTCTGCTGCTTGGTAGCAGAGAGGGGTTCATCCAAATCCATATATAATAAACAGCGCCTTCTTTTCGGAGCTGCAGAGTTTTTTTCCAGTCACTAGCTGCATAATTGTCAGTACAGACCAAAAAGCTAGGAAAACTTCTACTGCAGCATTTTGAGATCTGCTGTAGTTCTGTTTCACTAGGCTCTTACAACTTCTGCTTACAGTATGCAATAAAGTGAGGACAAGATTTATCTCTGATTTCACATTGCTGCAGATTTTTAAAAAAGTATACTTTTCTACATGGAAATGGATATTTCGTGCTGCTACTCTTGTTAGGTATGGAGACCTGTGAAATTATGGTATCATTCAGTATAATTGGAAATGCAGAAAGAAAAGGTGTTTTATTGTTGTTGAGCAAACATCTTTGTTCACTCCATGCACCTCATCCATTATTTTTTGATTATAACTAAAATATTAAGGCTTTTTAAGCAAAGTATTTCCATAAAATAATATGAAAAGAAGACATAGTTATAAATGGGGAAGCCACTGTCTGTCTACAGCAAATACTTCATGAAGACTGATCTACCCAGTTCACAGTACAGGCTGAGCATGCAAGAACATTCCTGGCAGGGTGCAATGAGGAATGGCAGGCAGCAGGCAGGCACGAATTGCAGGAAATAGCAAGCAGGTTCAGCTGCTGCAGCAGGTTGGCAGTTATGCTGGAAAGTCAATCCACAGATCATAACCCAACCTACTGAGGGTCAGAGTCCTGTGGTGACTCAGGTGCAGGATGATGGGACCAGGCAGAAATCAGGCCAGGAAGTCAGGTCCAAGGGGATGCAGGCAAGCACTGGAACACCCAGGTGGAGCGGGGTTAAAGGCCCTGGAGTCATGAGCAGGAGTGTGGGGGTTGAGGCTCCCAGGTGAGGCTGGTAAGGGCCATTTAGACTTATTATTATGTTCAGGGTCATTACTGTCCATTGGCAGTCTTGCATTTGAAACAGACTAAAATTATTACAGAGGCTATGCCTTAATGAACTTTTGTTCAAATTCCTCATTACCAATGCAGTAATCACAGCAATGAACCAGTCATATAAATTTTCTTATAAATTTGCTTTTAAACAGTCATGAAAATTTTTAATCTCCTTCTCTACATCTGATCAGAAATAGGAGCCAGACAATATTAGTGCTTCCATTGCCACAGTGATGTATGAGCTGTTCCTTAACTGCAACAGCAATTGCTATTTTTAACAAAAAGATCAAGCATTCAAGCTGAATTGCTAGGGTATTTTAAATTAATGTTTCTTCTAGATCCAATAGTCAGAACAATGTCCTGGAGAATCAGAATTACATTAATTTTGCCACTTTATTGACCTAAGCATGAATAGCAAGCTTTGTGAAAAACCACGGTGCCTTGTCTACATCAGTACTAGTAGGAGACACAATAACTTCTAGTGTAGACTGACAGAATGAGTAAGCAAGTAAGATCAAGCAATAGCAGTAGCATACAATGTAAAAAATAGCTTTCAGTTGTACTGAAACTAGTCTGTTCAATGGAATAGATCAGAAAACATCATCAGAAAACAAGCCAGTATCCACAAAGGATTAAATTATGAACAGAAGCTGTTAGCATGTATCTGATGGCAGAATGTACTTTTTTATTATTTGAAATTGGCACTCATGTTTACTTTTTAGGATCAATTTTTTTTTTTTTTTTTTTTTACTGCCAGGTCAAATGGTAAAAATTACTGGAAATTCCTGCTTTTTTCTTATTCATGCTACTTTCATATATTGTAGATGAGCTTATCCCTAAACTTTCATGCTTTTCTGATCTTGTTGTTGTGTCTTTTAACTAAGCTTGTATTTGCACAAAAGTTACAAACAGAAGTTTAAAAGCTCCAAAGTGGAGCACAATTAAGATGAAGAAATGGGATGAAGAAATACTGTGTTCTGAGTGGGCCCTTAAAGAGAAGTAAATATATAAATTCGGACATGACTGTGCTTTTGTTTTGAGGCAGACTCATCATACTGTATCAGCTAAAAGTAAGGCTGGTCTTGCATCTGCCAAAGGCTGTTTTGGTAGTGCTTGCCACCTAGTGGATTACTGCTCGTGTACACAGATGAGCAGCATCATCTGCCACAAAAAAGACCATCACACTATTAATCACACTAATATTTTATTTTATCCTGCAGAATTTGAATACTACTCAATGGATTTATTTATTTTGTTGGAATGAAAAGCATGTGAAAATTGAACTACAAATTGCAAACATTTTCAAAACTTTTATCTGACAGCTGTATTTGCAACTATGACATGGCTTGGTGACCAGCAAAATATGGAATTTGAGAGCTAATGAGTAGTTGGTCTAAGTGGCCATGGACTCAGCTGTAAATTCAAGCCCCATGCTAACATATATTGGCTGAAGCTGTATTATGAGTACATTTGGTGAACATAACTGAGCTTGTTGTAATTTATACCCATTGTTTCTGCTTCTTCTGTAAGAGTTTGCTGGGGCCCTGTAATTTTTTTAGGTTTCTGATTTGTATATAGGAGTAACTAAATTTTCTCAACATTACCTCTTCTCTTCTCTTAGCTGAATTGCCTGGAATAGTTGTCATCTACTCGAATTTCTACCTGATTAATAGTTTACCCCTCATTACTGCCCACTAGTCTTAGAGAGATAAGTTGCTCATATCATAACACAGTGTAAATACGTGTATTGTAAGTTACAAGAGTTCCATCCACTACTTAAAAAAAACCCCACATTTTTCCACACAAATGTAGTCCTCCTGCCAAAATTTGATTCCCCTCTTTCAATTTTAAATACAGTTGAGCTTTTACTGAATTTTTAAATAATCACCATGTTTTAAAAACATGGACTATTTTACTAGAATCTTCCCCAACACATCCAGCTTACAGGGAACAGTTGAGGGAAGTCCTCAGCAACAGGGAATTGTCAGGTTTGAATGCAACAGGTTTTCTGCTACATTGATGTTTGTAATAATATTTTTTATTATTTCATGATGATGAAAATGTTGGAAAATTTTAGCCAACATCTATATGGTATTCACAAATAATTTATGCTTTATACTTCCAGGAGAATTTCCAATTAAGCTTATTAAACTCAAGAATACCTTAATACTTAGTTGTTACCAGTATGTTCATATAGATGATTTTGCTTTTATAGCGTTTTATGATAATTAACCAATTTATGAGTGACTTCATATGCAGATGTTGAATTGGGTAAGATTCCACAGAGTTTGTTC